TTTACGCGTTCTCATCCATGACACCCTGCTTTATTCTGCACTTTTTTTTTGCAGATTTTGCAACATCAAGCGTTTGCGAGCGAATGAAGGAGTACAAATTGGTTGTCTGCGGATGCGGTGGAGTTGGAAAAAGTGCATTGGTAAATTTTTGTTCTAAATGGTCAATATTCTAAAAGATCAAAAAGTCTCAAAATTTTCGATTCCTTTCAAAAATCAATTTTTAAGCTTCAACTAGAATGATGTTTATGAGCTTTAATTTTGAACTTATCGTCAGCGTTTTTATAATTCCATTAACAGCATTATCTTTCCTTTTTCCCCTGAAATCCTCAGCTTGCTGTTTCATATTGTAGATGAAGGAATCAGAGCTATGGACCTGTCGGATAAGCTTCTATCTTTATTTTTCTGAACACAAATGCCGTCAAGAAAATAAAAAATCAACTTTTTATTCAAAGTTTTATGCCACATTGCGTTTCATCCTAAAAGAAGAACAGTTTCCTACGACATTTATTTTGGCTTTTACAGTCTTTTGATTGATTTTGAAGTCGTATTGGAAAGCTGAGTGCACACAAACAAGCATTTCCAAGAATTTTTTCTACAATTTACATTTGGATTTTGGTAGAAATTTGCGGTATGTTAGTTTGTCAATTAGTTTGACGTGCTCACCTCATAAAGACTTGCTTATTTTGTCCACAATTTGGGGCCAGATTATAGAGGAGGAAGCGGTAAGAGATGAGGCCTATCTTACCGCCTACCTAGAGCGAACCTTGATTGCTGTGTGCTCATCCTTCCACGAATCCATTTAACGCCTCTTTATTTAGCGTAACATAAGAAGATAATATGGCACTTCTGTACAACAATTTGATTTTCATGGTCCATATGTCGGTTTACTACGGCATATAATGTTTCCGTAAATCCTTCATTTTGAATTTCGAAAGCAACGGAGATATGAAAAACAAATGCAATTCTCTTGTAAGGCAAAAATTCCTCTTTTCAATGATAATTTGACGGAACACTTAGTTTTTTGAAGCGTTTCCCTTAAAAAAGTTGCGTTTTCTAGATAACTACTACGACTCGTAGGGAGCGAGATGATTCTCCTTAAAAAAGCTTTTGAAATTTGATAGAATAGAGGCACAAGGTCGAGCAGCGTTGGACACAATTCAGGAAACCTCCTAAAAAATATTGTTTACTACGTATGTTGGGCTAATTCTTAGATTTTTTTGTGGATAAATTTTTGCTTCATTTTCTTGTATCATTGAGCAAGCAAATTTATCATTTTTGGTCAAAATATTATCAAAAATCTTAGAAAATTTCAAACCTTCTTGCTACTGTGACAACAATTTGACATGTTCGGCATCTTAGCATTGGCGATTCAAATCAAACATCTTTGAAATAAATTTCATGGCATAAACTTTTTTACTTCCTAAAGCACAGAAACTTCGTCAACGTCGAAGAAAAGAAATGTCGCATAGAAGAGTGTCACTTTACTAGAAAATCAGAATGGCAGTACTCTTTGGTTCAAAGATCTGTCTTAAATTTTTCTCGCTAAAGTTAGAAATCAATAATTAATTTTAAAACCGAATAGATTGATCTAGCAGGTTGATGACCATGTTAAGTTACATACCTTTTATCTATACGAAGTATCATGGCTTTGCACGAGCTTTTCGAGGCCTAAAGTTGTCGACTTTTCTAATATTTCTATGTAAATAACTTGAGTTCTATTGTTCTTATGACTAACTCAACAACA